TTTACATAAAAAGTGATTTAGTTTTGTATTGTGTAAAAAATAAGTATTACCCAATCCTCCTTAATTTTTATGCTGCAAGTTATGTCGATTATTTTCTTAATTAAAAACAACACATTTTTTTTCTCAGACATAACCTTAAATTATGTTTAAAACTTTAAATTGTAGGATTTGGTATGGTGAAATATTTATTTATTTCACTACAATCCGCCATTGTGCGTCTTTGAGTTAAGCGATTTAAATTTGGTTATCCAAATTATTCCCTACAGTGTTGTATTTTGTACTTCTTATTAATAAATAACTTATGTGTAAAACATATTTCAGTCATTAATTAGTCACGCTTGATACATGAGGATGTTGTTGCATACGCCTCATTATGTGAGCAATAATTAGACGTTATGTTCGTACTGTAAATAAAATTATTAGGCCTAACTCTTTGAGCCTCATATGACTTAGTTCAAACCTTTCATCAACGTAAAGTTGGAGTGGCATCCTCACTGCTCTGAAAAACTCTGCATAAAAAGTTGTTGTTGTTTTTTTTTGTCATTCAGAATAGCACATCGGAACTTCTAAGACTAATCTTGTTATCTAAGAAATTCTACTTATTTGTTTTTAAGCTACGTCTTTGATTTGCCGTGATAACGCATACATCGCTGCACGATCACATATTAGCGATAAAAACGTTTATCAAATAAATTTAATATGAGTTTAAGCAGGCCACTAGGCTACGTAGAAGCTCTCAAACATCCGCGTTTTTCCTGAACAAACTCAAACTACTGAAGCCTGTCTGTAACCTACATACAACCTTTCGTAGCGTTTTCAATAGAATATCATCTCTGAACGTGCATACGTTCCGCCAACGTACGTGCAATTTAATTGGATAAGTGCTGGTGGCATTTTCCATTAATTACAATAAATGAAGGTTAATAGTTCTCTGAATGCTAAAGCTCCTCTCTTTTAAGATCTTAAAAAGAGCTAATGCGTATTTAGTGTCAGACTGCATTTTGAAATCTAGTTGAACATAATTTGTTACAACTAGTTGAAGTTCGATAACTCCTCAGTTTGAAACGCCTTCATCACTTTTTATTCAACAAATAATTAACTAATACTTGAAAGTTCGCAAAACTGAACATATTCTAGAAGGGGGAGGACTTATATATTAATAATTAGGAATATTTGTTTTTGTTTGAATTTATACACAATGGGCTATCTGTGCTCTGCCCACCACGGGTATCGAAACCCGGTTTCTAGCGTTGTAACTCCGCAGACATACCGCTGTGCCACTGGGGGGCAATTAGGAATATAAAACGCTGAATAATCTCATATAGATTGTATCGAATGTTACATACATAGGTATACTATGTAGATCATATTTAAGTCCCCAATATATACTTAGATAATTTAAAACTGAATGTTTTTATTGTCCAATCCTCACCGAACACCACGTTATTGTTCAAATACTTATTGTCATGTGGCGTATCATGCGTCCGCAGGATTGAGAACTGTTTTGATATTCTGAGTAATGGTTCTGTTTATTGTTACTATGATATCTGCCAGAGCAATTAACGATATGTTTATCAAGAAAGATAAACTACTGAGCTTAAAGGTTGGAATATAAGAATGCGCACATAGTGGAAAACAGCACAAAATCGGTTTAACTGTAGCTGTAAAACGAGACCCGAAGAAAAAAAGACTGACAAAATAATCGTCTCGTTCCGTTGACATCTGCTAATCATGCGAACAAACATCAACTCAGCTAGCATTTATCAGAAGCTGAATAAAGCATCTTACATAATCACCCGAAAATAACATTTAGCATGTTTTATTTAAAACATATAATATCTATCCATTTTTCTTGTCACTATCAAACTTCGCGTAAATACAGGCCAATCAAAACCCTGTCCATTTCTCACAGAATAATAAACAGTGTATCTACAAATACTCTACGGGGTTTTACGCAGCTAAATTTGCAGTCGTATTGGTGAGATGAGCATTATTATCTTTAAAATATAGTAAAACTCTCGAAGTTTGAATTCCTTGTACTTCTCAATCAATAAATCTTGACGTACTTATATAATTCACTTATTCCAATGTGTGGTTCAGCATCTAGGGAAGGAGAAGATCACACTTTGGACAGCAGTTACAGTCCTCTGTTTCAAATCGTCAAGGCGAGATTATCATCATTCCAAAAGTTGACGAGGGAACTCCAGTTTGGGGCAGAACACCTTTCACTCTATTTGAAGTAATTATTAACACTGATAAATCAAAGCTGCATTGCTTGATTCTTGCGTTATGGATATATAAAGTTGGTACTAAGTCTGGAGTAGAACAGGTCAGAATACACATATATATATATGATTCAAAGCAAGTAAAAACACATTTAAAGTTCTACAAAATTGTTTTACCTGAGCTTGTTAAACGCAACGGGAATTTTACAAACAAAAAATGTAAAATAGCAACAACAGAGTAACTGGTGTAAAAAAAATACTTTTTCTTATTAAGCCTAGTTCTACTACTATTTCTTATCAAGCTCACAAGATTCTCATTTTCATTTATAAGACACATAATTTGCTATTCAATTATTTCTTAATTTCGGTACTTTACATCAAGATGTTTTTAATGTTTATTTATCATCTTGATTAAGTGTAAAATGCTAACCACTGTGACTTAAATTTTTATTCCACTATAACAGATACCTAGTCGATAACACACTTATACTCATGTGTTCAGCATCTGGGAAAGGGGTGATGAAGACAAGATTATCATAATTCTTCACACTTTTTGTTTGTTTTAGCACAAAACTATACAATGGGTTATCTGCGCTCCTCCTAACGCTGGGGTTCGAACCCCGTATATAAGTGTTTTAATTCCGTAAACTTACCGCTAGTTACCAAGAGACTATAAAGAAACATGTGACTTATTAGTTTATCAGAAAATTAGACGTGGACCGCCATTACACCTGTTGTTACCGAGTGTACTTAGCTGCTAAAGGCTAGTCTTAAAAACGGAAGTGGCATTTTCTTTCACTGTAGATGCCTCGTTTCCGTGAAGGATGCCCCCGAAAGAAACTGTAGACCGCGTGGAGTAGTCCTAGCTAGTTCCCTTGCATATTTTAGTGATTGTAGTAACACTGCCTACGTGTGAAATGAAAATCACTAGTCTCGCTACTTGACAGCCTTCTGATTCCAACCGCATTCAAAGAGCAGGTTGAACGACCATACCGGAACGCGGAAGACTCGACTTCAGCTGTATCATATCTTCACCATTGTCGGTCAAGGCTACCTCGTGAGCCGTCAATTCCGAAAGGCTACCGAAGTAGGTAACGTATTGTCAAAGTTACGAGGACAAGGGTTGCTCGGAGCGATTTTCAACTTCTTGAAGGGTAGTATAATGAGACTTTTCAGGACCGCCTGTCTATAAGTTCACGGCCAATCGTATGCATTTTTGAATGATAACGGTAGGTTTCTGAAAGAGTAATGTTTGTGTTCTTTGCTTGCAAGTGATCAGTATTATTCAGGCTCGCTTTCGAGCAGGAAGGTTCTTTTAAAGGACGGAAAATAAGCATTGAAAATAAAGGAAGTCGAAGCTAGTGAGGTAAGATACAAGCAGTATAATTTAAGTAAGTCTGTTCTACTCCTAATCATGTACCAATAACCCTGATAAGTTAGGTTCATTGTGAAGAGTTGATTCTGGTTTTGTCTATTCTCAAGCGACATAAAATGTAACAAATTATAACATGTAAGTTGTGTAGACAAAATTGTCTACATACATGTAAGTTTTATATAATGTAGACGAATTTGTTTTCAGAAATTGTAACTTATAACCCATTTTATGTACCTGTTTAATATAAGTTTTTATTGTATGTTTATTTAAACTTTGCTTAGCTATATAGCCGCTTCTTTTTTTTTCTGTTGTTGTTCTAAATTTACGAACTAAATGCCCTCCGTCTTTGTAAATGTACTTCTTCAGTACGATAAGTTTTCTACATTTGGAATAGTGTAACTTAAATATCATGCTGTTTGTAAAATGCCGTTGAATTCTGTTATCCATTCAGAGTTTTAGTTTAGGTGAACAATACAAAATTTTGTTAAACGGAATACACGCATTCTTTATTTGTTACTCTATAGTTAACCACTCGTCCTTATGGAGTAATGCTTTAAACACTGCTAAATAAACCAAAGAATAAGTAAACATTCTGACTGAAATATCTATTTTCAATTTAACTTTTAAGAGACATTAACAGATACAAAGTATCACTTGAACATTTTTCACGTGATGCATCCTTACTATTGACTATTCAATAACCTGGTAAACAAATGGTATCCCAGTTCATCTCTGATAAGGCATTATTGTACTTTATAGGCATAAAACTAGTCCATCTCTTATAAGGCATTCTTGGACTTTATAGGCATGAAATTGGTTGATACTCCAAGTATGAAATTAGATATGTCGAATAAAAGTGTCACAATTAGCTTCTTCGTGTTAATATTATTTTTTAACTCATGGCCTCTCTGGACAAATCAAAATTTAGCTTCCAAAGCTTATGGTAAAACATTAGTAAGCTGAAAACATTGAACATTATCATGATTCGAGGAAACCTCCAAATTTCTCAAATATTTTGCTATTCTTCTTCCTCAGTCCTTCCTTTTCTTGTTTAATCTATGGCGAAACTACTCGAATCCATTGTGGTCTGTGAAAATGCTCTGAATTTTTAATACACGTTAAACAATATTTTAACTTAAAACTCTTGTACAACATTCCATTTTTTAGTATTTTAAGCTTTTTACAGCTTTATGACTTTAGAAAATGTTACCGAATCACCAATACATTTTTATTTCCACAAAAAAAGTTAAGTTAGCATTCCATAAAGAGAGAGGATCAGGATATAGAAAAAATGAGACACTTTTAAATGTACTTCCATTTGCTTGTTGTTTTGTATTATTTCTTTGATCAGTTTCCAATTAGGTTCTCTATAATAGTTCACGATTGTTTTCCAGGTAATCATGATTCGACTGACGATAATAATCTTAGGTTTCACCACCTTAGTCTGCGCTACCTCCGTTACAAGCAATTCGGCTGTGAAACGAGAGGAAAATCAAGGTAGCTCTAGCTCAACAAGCAGACAAGCCAGCTCCAGCAATCTCGCTCAAACAGCGTCCCAGGCTAACTTGTATTATTACTACTATCCCGTGCAAGAGAAGAAGCAGTCTTCAGAAGATTACGAAACCTCTGCCTCCAATTATAATCCTGTCAGAGCCTCATACGGTACCAACGTAGGGCAGAACTATGATTCTTCCGATGTGTACCAGAGTGCAGCTAGCTCTCAAGATGCAACTGCCGGAGGATATGGAAGTCAAACCGCAGGGTTTAGTGGTGAAAACAGCTTTGCAGGAGGTAATTTCGGAGGTCTCGGTGCTGTCAGTGATATAAACCAGGTGAACGCCGGGGGCTACGGTGGTCTAGGACAACTAGCAGCGGCAACTGGAGGTTACGGAGTTAACGCTCTCCCAGGCCAAGCAGCAACAGGAGGCTACGGAGTTGGAACATCTGGCAACATCGGCCAGTTGACTGCTGCAGGCTACGGAGGTGCTGGAATTGAAGGTTACAGTGGGCTGGGTGCTGCAGGAAGTCCGGCTTTACCCCAGTTTTCGTCTGGAGGTTATGGAGTTGGCTTCAACCAGGCAGGTGATTTTGGAGGTAGTGGAGCGGTAAATGGATATGGTCAATTTGGGACTCAAGGAGCGTTCGGAGGTTATGGACAAGGTAACTATGGTGGGTTTGGAGACCTACGACCCGCTGCTAGTTCCATCATAGGGTCAACTGGTGGAGAGGCTCAATCTTCTCTAGGCCTAGGGTCCTTGATAATGCCCATGTTAGCACTGGCAGGTCTAGGACTTATTCTTCCTTCAGTGTCGTCTTCACTTACGAGCAGTAGTCGTCGAAAGCGTGAAGCAGAGGACAAAATGGACCTCTTCAGCGGATATCACAGGAAACTGGAGAAATACTACTCCATCTATCGGTCAGCAGTGGAAAATGAGGAATGTCTCAACCGAGTAATATGTGAGCTTGGGAACGCAATGAGTGATGCAAAAAGCAAAGTTGCCATCATTAGGTAAAGCTTATGTGATTTAATAAGTTTGAAATATATGAAAAGTCAATGTGAATGTTTTTGAAGCTTCCCGATATTACATTTTGTGGTGTAAACAACAAATGATCATTTAATTTGTAATGAACATTACAACCATATTTTGGAAAAGTAAGGTTTCACAACTGAATACTGCAGTATAAACTGTAAATCTGCTATTTGAACTATTGGGAAAAAATTATAAATTTCTAGCTTTTTAATGTACTCCTTTCATTAATTAATGACTCGCTTTGCACACACTTTAACACAATATAAATAATATTTTTCTTACTAAAACGACTGTTATTAGCCGAGTTTAGGTTTCCCACCCCTTTTAATCTTTTATGTACAGTTATTCATTCTTAATATAACTTAAATGTTCAGAAAGGTAAACCAATTTGTAAAAGTAGGGGAAGATTAAGACTGATCCTGTAAATCTAATTATGTTACTAGACTTTTTCGACTTATTTAACTATAAGTATGTAATCAATTAAGACTCGATGTTAATTTTGCTTCAAACATTTATTTGTAATTTAAATTGTGATAAATACATGGTAAAGAAAGAATAGACACATCAATTAATACTAGATACAGACAAGCGAGTTATTATTGGACCTAGCGTGGCTCAGTCTTCAGCGTGCCCAGGCTGTTAATGCAAGGGTTTGTGGTTAGCGACCCGTTGCCACAAAAACTCGCTTTGCACTTTTGGGCTGCGGGTGCGCTTTTAAGTACAACGGTCAAATCCCACTATTCGACTAGACTTGAGTAACCCAATAGTTGGAGGTGGGTGCTGGTGACTAGCTACCTTTCCAAGGGTTTATAAATTCAGAATTATGGTTGGCTATGCACAGATAACCCTTGTGCAATTCTGCGCAAAAATTCTAAAAACAAACAAACAAGCGTTATCAACAACCAGTTAAAAAGTTGCTGCATTGAGAGAACTTAAGCTTTGCCGTGACAATATCAGATGACACAAAGTGTAATGTAACTCACGAAATCAGATAGTGGTTTCAATGTACTGGGGAGCACTTGGTAATTCGCCTCTACGTTTCAAAACTTGATATCAGCTGAACGACATAGATAATTTTGCATCTTTTTGTAAACGATCCATATACCATCTATTAACCCTAAGTTTGCGAGTCAATGAAACCAAATTCGGGGGGATTGGATGGGCTAAATGGGGTATCACAGTTCCTGGTACTCCAATAAAGGGTCCGATCTGTTAACCTCAAAAAGCAATACTTCACTGCCAGATGAACTCAACTCTCAATAGCGTTCGGCCACGAAGATATGGAGTTTAAGGGGTTGGCCACACTGTATTCCTCTTATAAAAAATAGTAGAAGTGTTCATGTTCAGGCAGGTGAAGCAATTAGCCAACTTACAGCAGCAAGTAAGCTACGTGAGTCTTCCTCGGTCATCTCTATCGACGGAAATTGCAAAAACCGCGGATAAAACGTTTTTATAGAGCTGAGGTACCTAATCTTGTACTGGGCAACATGTGAGACCAACATCGTATTTTTTTGTTAATTTTTTTGTGGGATTTTTGTTTGACTTAACTGGAACCGTACATAGTATAAAATAATGTTCAAATTCTTCGACTTGTATATCTCTTCAACTGTAAACATGAATAATATTTCAATTATAATAAGATACTTTACTTAGTGCCTCATGATATTCATGGGTCGGGTGTGGCCTAATTTCAGTGCATGGCATGATTGGATTCTGGATCAGAGCATTCGTGGTTTGCGTCCTAGTGCTGCAAAAACGTGTTTCACACTTTGAAACCATGTACGATACTATAAGAGTGAAGGTCAAATCCAACTATTTGGTTAGACAAGATAGTCCAAAAGTTGGCAGTGGGTGCACTTGACTAGCTGCTTTCCCTTTAGCCTGTCATTTCAAAATTGGGGACAACTATGCGCAGTAGTCGTTTTTGTAACTTTACACGAAAATTCTGAAACAAACAAATAAACCGATGTTCATCATTCGTTACTATCGTTTAGCGTTAGATTTCACAAATATTAAATACTTTTACGAGTAATGAGAACTCGGATGAATTGCTAAGTCTTAAAATAAGTAGTGTACAGACTTTTAATAGCAATTTTTTGTATCGATTTTGCCAAAATGTTTTAATGAAAATCAGCCCATTTGATTTCTTTTATGTTTTTTTTCTAGGGTTTTAGAACATTTCGTACCTGAGCAAATAAGGAGCAAGATGGAAATTTTTGAAACAGCTGCTTTGTCAACAAAAGTAGGCAAGTGTTACAAATATAAATGCTAAAACACTACAGTTTTGATGTAAAGTATCGCCTCAAACCCAAGATCAGGGCGTGCTGTTTAATTCGACCACGCTAAGACAGTGACATCTACATGTAACCCACTTCAAAAGGAATATCGTCTGTATAAAATCCTCGAGCATACCTCAGCCACAAGTGTTTTAAATAAAAAAAGACCCACAAGGAAGTATTAAGCTCACTGTTTAGCAAGTAATAACTGTGTCCTCAACAATACTCCCAAATGATTTGAGTACATCTTTGACACAGTAACCCTAATTGTGGTAATGGTCGTTCACCTACATTGTTATCGTGATTAACATTTTTGTCTCTTCAATTTACCTTTCGTCAATGTGGAATGTACAACTAGATGATGTGTTTCATTGTTTATATATATATGTGTGTGTGTGTGTATTTCAAAATATTTATACATTTAATTCTAAACAGAAAACAGAAAGAAAATGTTTGTTTTCAATTTTAATTAGTTATTATTTATTTAATTAACAATCACCTTGTTTCATCCTTAATGAATATCAAGCTGATATTAACATTGAGTATGATTTGTGGTGGGAAGATAGTGATCTATTTCACAACTGCAATACCTCTTATTGATGACAAAATATTTTTTATAAAGAATACAGTCAGCTATTTGTTAACCACGTATTTAACAAATAAAATATAGATCACTTATTCGATTTTGATAAAAGTTTGAATTTTGATAAAATCACGACTTCGTTATATAATTTTTGCCAGGTGGGGCTAACAAGATCGATCTATCAAAGTGATCCTGATTATTTGATTGATTACAATCAAAATGAAACACACTTCCACGTTGTATAACTAAAACATGTTTCATACGTTTTTTTGGTTTGATTGATATTTTATAGGAGCATTGACGGGAACACGACAAAAGCTTCTTTGATGTAACTTTTGAAAACGGTTATTCCATAAATTTACATACATTTTATTCGTTAACATTGTGATACTCAAATATTCCTGGGAATACACCGGATCAAACAGCTCAATATTTTATTATTACAAAAAGTACAACTGATATTTACACATCGCATTTTTTGTTATTTTATTTCGCTGTCAAATAATTGCATCATCATGACAGTTTCACTTTTACATTAGCCTCATTTAAAGAAACCTTCAACACAAACAACCTATTGTTAAACGAAATATACTTTTCCAAAATGTTTTTATTACAATTTGTTTTTTATATATGCAATTTCATAACCATGGCAGGACCATGTTAACGTCAACCATGATTTTACTTCCCGTCAATATACACGTTCTTTGATCATTTTGTTTATTAACAAGTAATGGCGGCTAATTGATTATCGCAGTATGTTTATTACTCGTGTTTCGAGCTTATCGTTTGTGAGTCCTTCATACTGCTGTAACAAATGAAGCATGTAGATGATGGTAACATTTAACGTAATGGTTTAATACTCAGTTCATGTATTGTGTTAACAAAATGTGTGAATAATAAAATACTAGGAATGTTAGCTCTCACGTGTATCAGTTATTTGTACAAACAAAACCACCCTTATATGAGTCTCAGATAAAATTCTTCCTGTGGACAAGATAACATTTATGAGGAAAGTTGGATTAGACGGTCACTTTATCATTGAATACAGTGTTCACCAATTAAGATAAATCTCATGAAAAAAGTAAAATGTTTTAAAATGAACCCTTATTTATTGTAAATGTCATTTCTAGTTAAAACAAATATTGTAAAAAGACCTTTTTCAAAAATTAAAAACGTTTAGTTATTGTGGTTGGGGGCCGTTTTACCTATAGTGTTCGATAAAACGGACCCTCAAAATAGAGTAAAATGGCTTCCAGCTAACTCATAACAAATGCAACTTAAACTAAATGCTGTAGTTAGCAACTACATATAAATCACTAAGATCATCATTTAAATTCTCTCAGCAGGGATGGGAAGGCTGTGCGCCATGCGCAGGTTGCCATTATCTAGGACAATGGCGCAAAAGAATGTGGGTACTAACTAGTATGGTGGTAATTTGACCCCTCGGAGGCCGTTTTACCCTCAGCCACTCATCGTGAAGCAATCGGAAATTATAAAGAATCAGAATTTCTTATTGTTTGAAATTAAAAAAGCCAAATTTCCTGAAATGTTTATTTTACATAGAAACTTCAAATTGTTTACAGTATGCTTTGATTAAACTTCTCTCAACGCATAGGTGGCTAAATGCAACACTTAAGACTTTTCAAACTACAAAACCATAATGTATTTAAACATTTTACACATATCAAGAAATTAATGATAATAATACTAAAATTATTATAGGCATTGAAAATAAATTTAAATTTCACACAAGTAGCCCTTTCGAATGAATATAAGCAATTTGGAAATAAATATGTAATCTGGCAACATATATTACAATCAGGCATCATACTGTTGTAATGTTCTTTTGTTGGCGATTCTTTTAAATTATCTGGTGAAAATAATTGTTTGTTTGTTTGTTTTT